GTCGTCGGACCGCGCGCTCGTCGCGTCCGTGCGCTCCGTGCGCTCGGACCGCGCGTCCTCGCGGTCGTCCGCCGCGGCGGCCGCGGCCGCGGCGGCCGCGGCCGCGGGCTCGGCCGGCGGCGGCGGCGGCCGGTCCGCGGCGTCCTCGTCGGCGCCCTCGCGGTCCGCACCCTCGCGGTCCGCAGCCTCGCGGTCCTCCGCGTCCTCCCGGTCCGCACTCTCCCGGTCCGCGCCCTCCGGGTCCGCGCCCTCCTCGTCGACGACCGGCGGCGGCGGCGACGACGGCGGCGGCCGCCGCGCGCGCCCGGGCGCGGGCGACGGCGACGCCGCGTCGGGCTCCGCCGCGGCCCCGAGCAGGCGCCAGGAGATGAGCGGGTCGTGGATGAAGGCCTCGAGCATGGACAGCAGCGAGTCGCGGTTGTCGCCTATGTTGAATTCAACCGCTGGTTTGGGTGGTCCCGACCAAACTTGAGAATTCTCTAGCTCGGTCACATCCAAGTCGATTCGGCTGATTTTTGGACGAATCGATTGCTCTCGTCGAGTCCTCGAAGCACGGCCGAAGATCTCGCGTCGAAACTGTCGCATACGCTCACATTGAAGTCGGGTTGAAGATTCGAATGCCACGCGGGTCGTCGCGGAGCACGCGCATGACGCGCTCGCACGTCGCGCGGTACGTGCCCTCGACGCCCGACACCTCCATCGCGTTGACGAGCATGCGCGTCAGCCGGAAGGGCACGCGCTCGGGGAACTTGTCGCGGTGCATGGCGACCTCGAAGCAGTCGCCAAAGTCGATGTGCAGCACCTTGCCCGTGCGCCGGTCGAGCATCAGATTCGACGGGTGGCGGTCGCCGAGGCCCAAAATGTGGCCGACCATGGACATGGCCGCGAGCGACCGCGCGTAGTGGGTCCGCCGTTCCAGCCACTGCTCGCTGTGCGACGACTTGAGCCACAGCACCTTCGAGAGGTCGTGGCCCGCCGTGTTCGCGAGCGCGGCGTCGAAGACCTCGACCTTCTGGGGCAGGCTCAGCGCGTCGTAGTCCGGCGCCAACTGCAGCATGACCCGGTGCTCGACGTTGAGCACGATCTTCCTCGCGTCGCGGAAGTCGCGCACGAGCGCGTGGAGCGTGTCGCAGGCGGGCACCCAGCCGACGACGCCGCAGTTGTGGCTCAGCGGCGTCACGGCGTAGCGCTGGATCGACAGGTGGCCGTGCTCGCGCGTCCGCCGGTCCTTGGCCAGCAGCGCGTTCGCTAAACCAAACAACTGCATCGCGCGCTCGTCCTGCCGCAGGTCCTCGTGGCCCTTCAGGAGGAACCCGTACTCCCGGCCGTCCTCGCCCTTCATGGCCAGCCGCCGCGGCCGCTGCTTCGACGTGATGACGTGGACCGACGGCGAGAACCGCGAGATCCGCGCGCCCGCGCCGTCGACGCGGTACGTGCCCGGCACCGCCAAGTCCAGCGACCGCGCCCCCAGGAGCGCCGGGCTGACGTATCGCAACTCCAGCGTCGTCAGCTGGGGCAGCTGCTTGTTCACGCGCCGGAAGACCGTGTAGTACCTGTGTGGAAATCAAATCTTCAACCCGACTTCAATGTGAGCGTATGCGACCGTTTCGACGCGAGATTTTCTGCTGTGCTTCGAGAACTCGATGAGAGCAATCGATTCGTCCAAAAACCAGCCGAATCGACTTCGATTTGACCGAGATAGAGAGTTCTGAAGTTTGGTGGGGACCCCCCCAAACCAGTGGTTGATTTCCACACCGTGTAGTACAAGTCCCAGGCCTGGTTGAGCGCCGCGTCCGCGTCCTCCCTCAGCCGCCGTCTCGCGTCGCCGTCGCCGCGGTCGCCGCCGCGGCCTAAACGGTCCTCGGCCCGCGCGTGGCGCTCGTAGTCGTCGAGGCACGCCGCGGCCTCGCCCAGATCCCGCCCGAAGGCCTGCTGGAACGCCGCCTCGCGAAGCGTCGTCGGACCCGCGGAGAGCTCCGCGTGGAGCGGCCGCAGGATCTGCAGCATGGCGTCGACGTCGCCGTCGCCGAAGTACAGGCGGCTCGCCTCCTCGAGCCCCTCGTGCCACTTCTCGTGCCATAGGATCGCGACGCGGATGAGCTCCTCGGAGACGAGGAGCGCCTGGTCGACGAGCCGCGGCGCGACGGTCCGCGGCCCCTGCATGATGCCCTCGGCCGCGAGGCGCCGCTCGTCGCGCGGCGACTTCAATTGCAAACTCAGGGGGTAGACCAGCGCCTGCGGGTGGCGCGCGCCGAGCCGCGCCAAGAGGCGATGGAGCGCCGATTTCGGCGACGCGTCCGCGGCGCCGATGCGCGCGATGAGCTGCGGCAGCACGCCGAGCCAGGCGTCGAGGGGCGCGCCGCCGACGCCGCCCCGGTCGTCCTCGTCCGGCAGCAGCTGCGCCTCGACCTCGGGCTGGCGCGCGAAGCGGAACCACAGGTTCAGCAAATTCAGCAGATCCTGCTGCACCGACGCCGCCCAGCGCCGCCGCCCGAGCGCGATGGCCCGCACGAAGCCGCCCGCCGCCGCCACCAACGCCCGCTTCACGGCCGGCGACCGCAGCGCGTCCACGGAGGCGTCGCGCTGGGGCCCCTTGACGGTGGATTTTCGGTCCGCGCGCGCGGACCGCGCGGCGCGCTGCACGGCCCGATAGTTCACGAGCGCCCAGGCGTGCCAGGCCTTGTAGGACGCGGCGTCCAGACGCGTCGCGAGCTCGTAGGGCCCCAGACACAACGCGTCGTCGTCGCCCGCCGGCGACCCCGGCGCGGGGCTCGCGCGGCCGTCCGGGCCCCGCGACCGCCAGTCGCCCAGTCGCAATAAACACCGCGCGCGGAGCCGGTCGAAGGCCAGGTTCGCCGGCGCGTCGCCCAGGGCGTCCGCGAGCTCCTCGACGCGCCGCAGGGCGTCGGTGCGCTTCCCCGCGGCGTGGCAGTGCTTCGCGTACGCGTAGCGGAGCCGGTGGTCCGGCAGGCCGTCGCTCGCGCGCGGCACGGACGCGGGGTCGAAGCCGAGCTGGCGCGTGAGCACGGACTCGGACAGCGCCGCGTTGCCGCTGTGGCGGCAGAGCGACGCGTAGCGCAGCCACGAGTCCGGGTCGTCCTCGTACGAGAGCACGAGCGCCCGCACGTTCAACACGCGCTGCCAGACGGCGACGTCGTGCGGGCAGCCCGCGAGGCGCCGCCGCCAGCGCGCGACGAGCGCCGCGCGGTGGTCCGACACGGCGTCGGCGCCGCGCCGCGCGTCGCCGGACCGCCGCGACTCGCCGCGCGCCGCGAGCTCGACGCGCCGTAAGCCGACGATCTCCTCGAGCTCCGCAAGCTGCTGCACCGTGACCATGGTCCCGTAGGCGCGCTTGTAGGACTCGGCGACGAGCGCCGCGAAGGACCCGTGGAGCAGGCGCCTCGCATCATCCACGAGGTCCACGGCCTCGTCGATGCGCGCGGGCTCGAGCCGCTCGCGCGACCGCAGCGCGAGGATCGCCCGATAAAACGGCTTCGACGCGTCGTCGTCCTCCATGGCCGCGACGAAGTTCGTCATCTCGCCCCAGCGCCCCAACGCCCAGGCGCTCCGCGCGCCGACGTTCGCCGCCTTCATGAGCAGCCGCGTCTCCCGGGGAGACGGGCCGCCGCGCGACTCCGTCGACGCCGCCAAGGCGTCGAGCGCGCCGCTCGACGCGGCCTTGGGCGCCGGCGACGCCGGCGGGTTCGACGCGGCCAGCGTCGCGAGGTTCATGGCCGACGCCGACGGCCGCGGCTCGACGTTGTCGCCGAGCGCGACCTGGAGCCGCGGCCACGACCGCACCAGCAACCCGCACGCCTCGTGCCACTCGCCGAGCGCGTCGAGGCACTTCATGGCCCCGAGGATGGCCTCGACGTCGCCGCCGTCGCCCTCGAGGCGCCGCCGGTACAGGGCCAGCGCCTCCTCGTAGGAGCCGAGCTTGCCGAGCCACGACTCGGACACGTCGCCCAGCGTCCGGGGCCCGTCGCGGCCCGCGCGCTTGCCGGGCGTCTCGCTCATGTAGACGCAGGACCCCGGCTCCGCCGGCGCCGCCGAGGCATCGTCCGCGTGGTCGTGGGACCCGCAGCGCACGGCCTCGCCGCGCCGCAGGGGCCCGACGCGGTGGTGCCGCGTCCGCCTCCGCCGCTCCGACCTTTTCCGCGTCGCGTGCAGGACGCCCAGCGCGGCCTCGGGCTGGGCGAGCTTGCGGTTGATGGCGATCAAAGCCTCGGCGGCGGCGTGGCGGTCCCGGGCGAGCTCCGGCGTGCGGTACTCGAGCTCCTTGTAGTGGAGCGCCTTCGCGTAGGCGCGGCACTTCGTCGCGAGATCCGCCAAGACGCGGATGTCGATAGGTAAAGCATCAACATCACGCTCCATGAACTCGGCGAGCTCCAAGAGCAACTGGAGCGCGTCGGGCGCGACGGCCTGGAGCTCGTCGGACCGGAACGCGGTCTCCAGCGTCCGCACCAAACTATCGCGGTACGCGTCGTCCAATTCCAACCAACAGGACACGAAGGCCGACTGGAAGAGCTGGCGGGATAGGCGAGGATAGGCGTGGGCCACCGTCGCGCAGGACCGTAGCGCCGCCGACGGCGACTCGCGCAGCAGCTCCAGCGATAATCGCCGGAGCCAGTCGTTCCAGTCGTCGGCCGTGAGCCGCTGCGACACGTCCCAGGCCCGCTGCAGGTTCGGCTGGTTCACGTGCAACCGTTGGCGGCTCGGGCCCTCCGCCGCCGCGCCGCCGCCGAGCCCCCGGCCGCCGGCGCCCACGGGCGACCCGAAGGCCGGCGCGCGGTGCGCGCGCGCGGACGCGGGCGCGTCGCGCGCGCCGCCCGCGCGCGCGGCGACCGCGGAGATCTCGTCGACGGCGTGGTCGATGGACGACGCGCGGTACTTCTCGCCGATGTGCTGGGACCGGCTCAGGAAGGCGTGGCCCTCGCCGCCGTCGCCGTCCGCCGCGCGGTCGTCGTCGTCGTCGCCGGCCCGCGTCCGCGCGTCGCGCTTCGCCCAGGCCAGCGCCGCGGGCGACGCCGCGCCCCTGGGGCCCAGGGACAGGCAGCGCGTCGCCAGGCCGACGAAGGGCGCGAAGAGCTCCTCGCCGAGCTGGTCGCGGACGACCTCGAGCGCGTCGCGCGCCGCGTCCCTCAAGGCCTCGCCGTGCGCGGCCTTCGCGGGCGCCGCGTCCGCGGCGACGACGTCGGACCGCTCCAGTAACCGGCAGAGCGACCGCGCGATGCGCGCGCCGAGGTCCCGCCGCCGCGCGAGCGCGCGCCGGCCGACGACGACGCGGAGGCACCGCACGACGCGCGCCTGCCACTGGGGCCCGAGCGCGGGCGTCGAGAAGGGCCGCTGCCCCTGGTCCGCGCTCGCCGCCGCGGTGCCGCCCGTCTCCGCCAGGTCGGCGAAGGAGACGTTGCCCGGCGCGACGACCTTCTTGTAGGACGCGGAGAAGTGGCCCACGGTTCTCGGCGAGTGGGCGTCGCCGCCGTCGTCGAAGTCGTGGCGGCCCGGCGACTCCGGGTGGTCCGCCCAGCTCAGCAACGATTGCGCCCGCGACTCCGCCGCGCCGGCGCCGCCCAAGGCGTCCGCGAGCTTGAGCAGGGCCGGCACCACGAGGAAGAGGTAGTCCGACAGCGCGCCCCGCAGCAGCATCGTCGCGCGGAGGATGAGCGCCAACCGCGTCTCGCTCAGCGCCGCGGGCGCCGTCAGGGCCTTGGCCTTCGTGAGCAACGGCGGCTCGTCGTCGAGGCCGCCGACGCCATACCCGTCGTCCTTGAGCGACACCGCGCGGCTCCGCGGCGGCTTCCCGGCGGGCGCCGACCCCTTCGCGTCGTCCTTCTTCTCGGCCCGCTTGCCGTCCCAGGGCGCGCGGCCGCCGCCCTCGAAGGGCGGTGCTAAAGAGGCCAGCAGCAGCGGCAGCGCCCGGGGTACCAAAGCCGCGAGGTGCTCGGACACGGACGTCGCGATCTCTTCCAATAACGGCACGACCTGCTCCAAGTGCTCCGCCCAGTAGTCCACCACCAACTCGAAGATGCGCGGCAGCCAGTCCCTCAGATGGTGGCGCACGATGGCCGCGAGCGCCGCGAGCTGCAATAACACGGACTCGCGCAGGCCCGGCTCGCAGGTCCGCGCGACGTCGAGGAGGTGCGGCACCTGGGCAGGACAAGAGTGCGAAATTCCCAACTTCAAAGGCTCTTCTCTCGGCCGGTTTCCACTCGTTTCGGCTGATTTTTGGACGAGCGATCATCTCTCGGAACGGTCTCGAAGCGTGGGTGCTTTTTCCGGAACGCGCGCGCGCGGAACACTCACGTTGAAGCGACGTTGAATCACCCTTGTCCTGCCCTGTGGGGCACGATGTTCCCCAGAAAGGGCACGCACCGCAGCCCCAGGCTCTGGAAGATGAACATCAGCGCCTGGGTCACGGCGGCGTGGTGCGCCGCGAGGGACCCGTCCCGCAACACGCGCACGAGCGCGTCGATGGCCACGCGCGCGTAGTAGTCCTCGCCCGCGGCGGGCGTCGCCGCGCGCGCCGCGCGGTCCTTGCCCTTGGCCCGCTTCTTGCCGTCCTTGCGGTGCGCGTCGCCGGCGAAGTCGTCGTCGTCGTCCCGGCGCGGCCCCACGTCCGCGCCGACGAGCCGCGCCTCGTAGTAGGCGCCGACGTCGTTCTTGCCCGCGCCGTCGACGCCGCGCTCGCCCGCGTGGATCAGGTCCGCCGGCGCGGGGTCGGAACCGCTCTCCCGGATCGCCGGCAGCGCCACGGCGCAGGACTGGGCGTACATGGCCGCCGCCGCCGGCTCGTCCTCGTCGTCCTCCAGCAACCCCGCGAGGTGCGGGCCCAGGAGCGGCGCCTCGACGTCCGCCTCGTCCTGTACGGGGCTCGCGGGCACGTGCGACGAGAGGAGCTGGCGCTTGTCCTCGAGGTCGCGGCCGTCGACGCCCTCGGCGGCGTCGCCGTCGCGCTTCGGCGACGCGCCGGGGATCGCCATGGGCTCGGACTTGCCCGGGGCCTTGGGCTGGACCGCGCGCTCCGACCGCCGCCGCCGCGCCGCCGCGGCGAACGCGCGCGCCTTGGCCTTGGCCGTCGCCTCGCGCGACGCGCGCTGCACGAGCTCGAACTTGTAGGGGTCCAGGGCCCCCAGCAGGCCCAGGGCCCGCAGGGCTTCTCGACAGAGGGACCAGGGCGCGCCGCCGCGGTCGCCGGCCTCGCGGAGCGCCGCGGCCGCGCGCGGGTTGGCGCCCGGCGGCGCCGCGCCCGCGGACGAGCTCGCGACCGCGCCGCCCGAGCTCTCGCACAACACCGCGAGCATGCGCGGCAGTAAGGGCGCGTGCTCGAGGTAGGGCGCGACGACGCAGCCCGCGGACGACGCGAGGCGCCCGAGCACGCGGAGCGCGAGCTCGCGCTTCCGCGACGACGACCGGTCGAGCAGCGCGTCGAAGAGCGGCGCGAGCACGCGCGGCTTGTAGACGACGACGCGGCTCCGGGGCCCGAGCACGAGCACGCACTCGCCCAGCGCGTCCAGCGCCGCGCAGGCGAGGCGCGTCGGCACCTTCAGGCCGTCGTCGCGCGGCGCGGGCGCGATGTCGAGCGCCCGGGGCGCCGCGGCCTCGAGCGCCTTCACGGCCAGGTCGCGGTAGCCCAGCGGCAGCGCCGCGACGACCTCCGCGGCCAGGGGCCAGACGGCCTTGCGCGCGCGCGGGCTCTCGGCGCGCAGCGCGCCCGCCGCGAGCCGCGCGGCGCGCTCCTTCGCCGGCGCGTCCGACGCGGGGCACCGGAGCGTGTCCAACGCGCGCGCGAGCGCGGCGCGGACGCGGCTCAGCACGGCCGCCGGGTTCCGCGCCGCGAGGCGCCCCAGGAGCGCCAGCGCCGACAGCTGGAGCTCCGTGTCCTCGTCGTGGAGCAGCAGCGCGAGCGCGTCGACGTGCGCGCTCCGCGCCAAATGCCCGTCGAAGCGCGCGTCCGCCCGGAGCGCGCGGACGACCGCGCGCCGCGGCCCCGGGTCGTCGTCGGCGAGAGCCACCGCTAAGAGCCGCCGCAGCACATCATCAACAACCACGGCCGACGGCCCCGCGAAGTACCACGCGCCGAGCGGCGCGGCGCCCGGCTGCTTGGCCGTACGGCCCGCGCTCTCCGGCGCGGACCGCGCGCTCGACGCGAGCGACGCCTTGGGCGCCGGATCGCGCCGCGCGTCCTGGCTCGGCCGCCGGCCCCCGGACGCCGGGGGCTCCGACTCGGCGCCGGAGAAGCGCCGCTCCGGGTTCGACGCGGACGACGCGCGCGGCCGGTCGTCGTCGTCGCCGTCGCGGCTGCCCCGGTCCGAGTCGCCGGAGTCGCCGCTGTCGTCGTCGTCGGCGTCGTCGTCGCTGTCGTCGGGCCGCCGGGGCCCGTCGGTTTCCGCCGGGAGCCGCGCGTTGAGCTCCGCGAGCGGCGGCAGGAGCAGCCGCGCCTGGGCGGGAAAAGAGAGATTCAACGTCGCTTCAACGTGAGTGTTCCGCGCGCGCGCGTTCCGGAAAAAGCATCCACGCTTCGAGACCGTTCCGAGAGATGATCGCTCGTCCAAAAATCAGCCGAAACGAGCGGGAAACGGCCGAGAGAGGAGCCTTTGAAGTTGGGCATTTCGCTCTCTTGTGCTGCCCCGAGCCGCGCGCAGCTCGCGACCGCGGCGGACCGCACCGCGGCGGACGACGCGTCGAGGTAGCGGCTCGCGCAGTCCCGCGCCAGCGGCAGGAGGCACACGCCCTCCATGGAGAAGGAGCCCAGGGTCCGCAGGGACAGGAGGATCAAGTCCTCGTCGCGCGCGTCGACCTCGAGGCGCGTCCTCGGCGCCGAGTCCGCGCGGCGCCGCCGCGGCCGCGGCAGGGGCCGCGCCCAGCCCGGCGGCGCGTAGGGCGACGCGTCGAAATCCAGCACGGACGTCAACGCGTCGAGGAGCCGCGCGCGCACCGCGGGCCGCCGCGACGGCAGCGCCTTGGCGACGACGCCGAGCGCGCGGATCAGGGGGTCGCAGAGCCCGTTCGCGAACAGGGCGTCCAACAACGCGTCGGCGTGCGGCGGCGGGATCTTCTCCCCCAGCGCCTCGAAGACGTCGGCGACGCAGTCGACGACGACGCCGCGGCGCCGCTTCTCCTCGGGCGACGCCGGCGCCGCGACCTCGCGCCGCGCGCCCCGCGCGCGCGAGAACGCGCCCCGCGCGACGCCCCGCAGCTCCGGCGCGCCGCTCAGCAGCGCGTCGTCGAGCGGGTCCGACGCGTGGGGCGCGCCGGACCGCAGGAAGCCCAGCGAGCCCGACGCGTCGAGCGACGGGGAAGCCTCGTAGGGGCAGTTGAGCCCCGACTCGCAGAGCGTCGCGACGATCTCCGGCAGGGCCGGCACGAGGTGGTGCTTCACGGCCAGCGCGAGGCGGCCCATGGCCTCGTAGGCCGCGTCCCGCAGCTCGCCGGACGTCCGGTGCACGGCCATCGCGAGCAGGTGCTTCGTCGTGCCCTTCAAGTACGCGCGCGCGAACGCGTCGGGGCAGTACTGGGCCAACCTCGGTAGCAAATCCGTGACGGCCTTGCGGATGGCGCGGCTCCGGTGCTCCCGCAGCGCGATGGCCGCGTCGCAGGCCTCGCGGAACCTGTGTGGAAATCAACCAGTGAGCTGGGACGTCGGGGCCAAACTTGAGAATTCTCTAGCTCGGTCACATCGACGTCGATTCGGCTGATTTTTGGACGGATCGATCGCTCTCGTCGAGTTCTCGAAGCCCAGCCGAAGGGCTTGTGTCAAAACATTCGAATACGCGCACATTGAAGTCGGGTTGAAGATTTGATTTCCACGCAGCGCGGAACCGCGGCATCATGAACCCGCCCGCGTGGCGCAGGAGCGCGCCGACGGCCAGCAGCGCGCCGTGGCCCGTGGCCTCCGTCGCCGCCATGGCCGGCGCCGGCGAGCCCGGGGTCGCCGACGACCCCCGCCGCCGGCCGCCGGGCGACGCGCCGTCCGTCGACGGCGCGAGCGACGCGGACCGCGCGAAGCGGCGCGGCGTCCGGTCGCCCGCGGACGACGCGTCGGAGCCGCGGCGTCGAAACAGGCGCTTCAGGGACCAGGGCGTCTCCGGCGAGCCCGCGCTCTCCGGCGCCGGCGCCGCCGCGGGCGCGTCGCCCGCGACGTAGTCCGCCTGCAGCTCCTCCGGTAAAGACCGGCGCCGCTCCGCGGCCTTCTCCGGCGACTTGATGCGCAGGAACGCGTTCGCGGCCTCGTACTTGTCGACGTGGGGGGCCAGGGCCGCGTGGGCCTTGGCGTAGATGGCGCAGTAGAAGTGGCTGTGCTGCGCCGTCGGCCGCCGCGCGACGATCTCCAAAGCCGCGCCGAGCGCCGCGGCCGCGGCCTCGCGGACGTCCGGCGACCGCGCGTCCATCAGCGCGGGCCAGACGCGCTCGAAGAAGTCGCGCACGCGCGCGTAGAAGAGCGTCGGCGCGTGCTTCGCGAGCTCGCGGAGCACCAAACACGCGGCGAGCCGCCGCTGCGCGCCGCCGGGCGCGTCCGCGGCGGCCTTGGCGCCGCCCAGATGGCCGTCGGCGCCCGCGGGCCGCTGGAGCCACTCCAGCGCCCGGCCGACCTCGAACTCGACGTGGTCGCTGCTGCTCGCGGGGCCCCGCCGCGCGAGTCTCCCGAGCGCGGCGGCCGTCCGCGTCACGAACTGGCGCTGGCCCTCGGGCGACCCGAGGAACTGGCTACTCCCGCCGCGGCCGTCGCCGACGCAGCACTGCTTGAGCGCGTTCGACAGCACGTTGGCGAACTTGATGCCCTTGGTCTCGGGCTCCGCGCTCGGCGCGCCGACGAGCGCCTCGATCGCCGCGACGCCGCCCAGGCGCTCCTCGACGTCGCCGCCGTGGTGCACCATGCGGAACAGGGTGCTGTAGAGCTCGTCCTCGAAGCGGCCGAAGGTCTCGCCGCTCATCTCCCGCGCGGCGCGGGACACGAGGCGCCGCAGCTGGTACGCCGCGAGCGTGCGCTCGCTCTCGTGCGACGCCCGCAGCAGCGTGAGAAGCGCTTCTCGCTCGAAGGCGTCCATGACGCTGAACGACGGGTCCAGCGAGCGGGCCATGGTGGCGGTGCCGCGCTGCCGCGCGCCGCCGCCGTGCCGCCGAACCAGACCTTGTGGCTGGAGCTTCTCCCGCTTCAGAGGGGGGCTCCTTGAGGTCGACGGCACCTCCCGCCGGGTCCACGCCGCGCTCCGCGCGAAGCGGGAGGCGGTCCTCTCCTGGGTGTCTTAGGCTTTCGCTCTATCCTACGTTGTCTGCGACTCAAGCGTAGTAGGGGCAGTCCCGGCTCGAGCGCCAGAAGCCGAAGATCAGCCAGAAGACTTCGTTCGGCACCCGGCCGCTCGCGCCGCCGCGCGTCGAGGACGTGCGCGTGCCGAACAGACGTTCGAGGATGATCGTTTCGGTGAGCGTCCGGAGCTTTGCGGACGCGGCACTCGGCGGCGTCGCGCGGCCGCGATCGCAAAGCAGTCGGAGCCGCACGAGCTCGACGCGCGGCGCTCGCGTGTAGCGCCGCCAGCCGCCCGCGGAGTCGACGGCCTCGAGCAAACGTGCGGCCTCCAAGCAGGCATCTCTTCGAGCATAATCTCCGTAGCAAATATATCCCTGTTTATCCATGCTGCTAGGATCAAAGTCATAAACTGGTGGTTCGCGAGCCGCGTCGTCAGCCGTATCGCGGAAGAACTGTGTTAGATCCCGTGGTGTTTGTGTCCAGGCCCCGCGACTCAAGAGGAGACGTGCAAGGGGCGGGTTGTCGTAGTTAAGTTCCAGCGGGCTCTCATCCCAAAAGTCGGCTTTGTCGCACGACGCGTTCACATCGGCGCCGTTGTCGAGGAGCACGGCGGCCTCTACAGGATATCGCGCGAAATGGAGCGGAAAAAGTCCGTGAGCGTTTGAAGCATTCACGTCGAACTTGTGAGACGCCAAGAGACGACAGAGATCCGATCTTTCTACCCGCGGGCCGCCCTCGCCCAGGAGAACAAGATGGAGTAGAGTGTTTCCTTCAGATGCGCACGAGTCCGGTTCCAGAGCCTTTCCAGAAAGTAAATATTGTCGGATGACCTCCGTGGCACCCCGTTTTGCGGCAAGAACGATTTGAAAATGGAGCATGGCGGGTCGCGCCTCCATTTGGAGCATGGCGGGTCGCGCCTCCATTTGGCTTATTTTGATCGCAAAAAAATACCACAGCGCATCTCAGACATGCGAGACGACCTCTCTGCAGCGCCGACTTGTAAGGTGCTTGGTCTTATACATAGGTCTCGTCCGCGCGCGGCGCTATGTTCAGGAGGCGAGGCCGGCGGCGGCGAGCTTCGCCTCGAGGTCGGCGATCTTCTTGTGCGCGTCCGCGAGCTCGACCTCGAGCTGCGCGGCCGTCTTTTTGGCGACGAACGCGGCCGCCGACGGCGCGGCGACGAAGCCCGCGTCCGGGTTCAGGGGCCGGAGCTTCGGCGGCTCGTTGGCGCCGGCGAGCCAGGCGTCGGCGTCGCAGGACGGGAGCCCCGCGTAGCAGTCCGGGAAGATGTCGTCCTGGAACGCGTCCGACTTCCGGGGCACGACGAAGGACAGGGGCTCGACGACGCCGTTGCCGTTCTGGGACGTGAGCTTGAGGCACCGCGCGGTCTCGCAGGACATGACGTCGAGGCACCGCTTCGGCAGGAAGCAGTAGCCCTTGCCCGCGGCCGTCGACCGATGCTCCGAGAGCGCGAAGCACGGCGTCTTCGCGGCCTTGTTGATCTCGTAGTAGCGGATGTTGCCGTCGCCCTTGCCGCAGAGGTAGAGCATCTTCGTGTCCGGGTCGAAGAAGGGCAGGAGCACGCCCGCGGCCTGGTCGAGCGACACGAGCGCGAGCTCCTTGGACGGGTCGCGCGCGTCCCAGATCTTGATCTGGCGCTGGCTCTGGCGCGTGAAGCCCACGGTCGCCAGCAGGCCGTCCTGGAGGAAGGCGAGCTTGACGGACTTGGACCCCTCGTGGGCGGCCCGGAGCTCCGTCGCGACCGCGGAGCCGCGCGGGTCGAAGAGGCGGACGACCTTGTCCTTGCAGCTCGTGCCTGTGTGCAAATCAAATATTCAACCCGACTTCAATGTGCGCTTAATCGACGGTTTCGACGCGAGGCTTTCTGCCGTGCTTCGAGAATTCGACGAGAGCAATCGATTCGTCCAAAAATCAGCCGAATCGACTTCGATTTGACCGAGCTAGAGAATTCTGAAGTTTGATGGGGACCCCCCACTAACCAGTGGTTGGTTTCCACACAGGCTCGTGCCCAGCAGGCTCCCGTCGGCGTTCCATTGCACGTCCTGGATGAGGGACGTGTGCGCGTCCGTGGACGCGACCTCGCCCTGCTTCTCGACGTCCCAGACCTTGCAGAGCATGTCCGCGGACACGGACGCGAGCACGTTGCTCGCCGTCGGGTGGAACCGGAGCAGCGTGACCTTGCGGCCGTGGCCCCGCAGATCCACGAGCGGCTCCGTGAGCGTCTCCGTCAAACCGCCCGGCGGGATGCCCCAGAGCTTCACCGTCGAGTCGTCGCTGCAGGACGCGAGCAGCTGCTCGTTGAACGGGTGGAAGTCGAAGTCGAGCGCCGCGCCCTTGTGGCCCGCGAGCACGGGGCCGCCCGTCGGGAACGCGCCCGTGGCGGTGTGGTCGACGACGGCGATGGGGCCGCCGCCGCCCTGGAGCGCGACGGCGAAGTACTTCGTGTTCGCCTTGACGTACTGCTGTTCGCCCGTCGTCGTCGCTAAACGGAGATTGCGGAACGTGTCCTCCTGCTTCGGGGGCTCGACGTACACATGCCGGAACTTGCTGTTGCGGATGAATGCCGACATTGGTGCGCTTCCCGTCGACGCGGGGCGGAGCGGAGCGTCGGCCTCACACCCGTCGACGCGAGGCGGATGAACGTAGCCCGCGCGGTGACCTACGAGACCGCGAGTTCGTCGCCGAGCGCGCGCGCGATCCGAAACGCCCCGTGCCCCACGCGGTGGGGCAACGCACCAACCCCGGGCGCCGCGCCTCGGTCGTCCCACGGTACGCGCGACGACCGCGGCGATGGCGCGCGGTCCGATCGAGAGATGGTAGAAGGGCTGGGCTCGAGCGATCGGGTCGACGATTTTCACCGCCCAAATTCGCGACGAACGACCTCTCATGCCCGGAAAGACGACGACGCCGGTACCCGACGTTTAGAAGGCGAGGCGATGTGACCTCGACGCGCCGCGTCCTCCTCGCCACACACTCGCCGCAGCAAACTGGCCAACCCGCCGTTTCTCCTCGCGCGGCCGACGACGTCGAACAGCCTCCCACAGGGCCTCCCAACGACCTCCCCCGCCCGACCCCACATTCGAGCGATAACACAGCGGCGCGGGGGCGGCCCCCCGCGCTCAGATCCAGTCCCCCTGGCGGAGCTTGCGGGGGAGGTAGACCTGGGTGACGAACTGGAAGCCGAACGCGGAGAGCGCCTGGATCTCCGCCTTCTGCTTCGTGTGGAGCATGCGCTCGAGCTCCTTGACCCACTGCTTGTTCTTGAGGACGAAGTCCTCCTTGAGGAGCTGCTTGCCCATCTCGATGTCCTTGGGCGTCATGGGCAGCCGGCACTGGTCCGGCAGGTTGTACGCGTCGAGGTCCGACGGCCGGAGGCCGAGCCACTTGATGTCCGGCGTCGTCAGCGAGTTGGCGTCGTAGGACATGGCCTTGGAGCCGCTCATGTAGACCGAGAGGATCTTCAGCCCGTAGGGGTCCGAGTCGACGAACGCGAGCACGGGAATCTTCAGCTCGGCCTTGAGCCGGCTCAGGAACATGCGCGTCGCGACGTCGGGCTGGCCCTTGCCCGTGATGAGGATGCAGGGGAACTGGTTGTAGAAGCGGTCCTCGGCGAGGCGGTTGTAGGCCGCGTCCTTCTCCACCAGCAGGATGAACTCCGCGTCGCTCCGGATGTTCGAGATCTTGTCGATGTACGCCGGGATCGCCTTGCCCGTGACGCCCATGCGCGTGCAGTCGATGGGGTCGCCGTCCTCGTCGAACTGGACGCGGCCCACGACCAGACCCTTGTCCGCGGCGACGACGTTCAAGCAAGACCGCGGGCAGCCGATCGTGCACGCGGCGTCGTCCAGCACCGCGTCCGACTCCTCCTGCTTCTTGAAGAGCTTCACGTCCGTGTAGAAGAGGTCGCGCTTCGTCACGTGGATGCCCTTGGTCACGACCTCGTGCACGAGGCTAAACACGCGCGTCATGATCGCCGTCTTCCGCACCTGGCCGACGTTCGCGAAGCTCCGCTCCGACGCGTTGTGCTTGAGCACGATGCGGTCGAGCTCGCGGACGTAGCGCTGGTTGGTCGCGGACCGCGACGGCACGTCGAACTTGAAGGACTCGCCCCGCATGATCGACTCGGCCGCGGCGACGAAGAGCGCCTCTATTGCGTACGCGACGTCGTCCGCGGGCATCGCGTCGACGACGCGCATGCCGCTCAGGTCGACCGTGCTCATGTCCACCGGCTTCTGCGTCGCCAGCAGCGCGCGGCACCGCCGCACCTCCTTGAGCACGACCTCGGGGTCGAGGATCTCCGCCTCCGGGGCCGCGGCCTTCTTCTGCTTCTTCTTCGGCGCCATCGTGCGAGCGCGGCCGTGCGCGCGGTCGGGACGGCGTCTGCGGCGCGAGGCGAGCGTCGCTAAGCGTAGGGCGACGATACTTGGTCTACACGCGAGAGCGCGCGGAGATCATAAGCTCGCAGAGCGCTTCAAATGATGTTGTTGAATTAGGCAACATTACACGCCAGTTGGCACCTGAACGATGGGGACCATGGCGGCGGCCGGCGCTTCGTGGCTGCCCCCGCCACACAAACCAAACATTTGGATCCCGGACAGCCGGTCGGCGTCGGACCCGGAGCGGCCGCGGACGAAGCAGCTGCTCTACGAGGCCTGGCTGGGCAACATGTCCCTGACGCAGGTCGAGGCCGTCAAGTCGCGGCCGCGGCGCAACGCCGTGCCCGCCGTGCCCGCCGTCGCCTGGCACGCGGGCCTCCGATGCGCCTTCACGACGCTCCTCATCACGCGGCCCGACGCCCGGCAGTACGCGTCGTTCTTAGAGGCCGCGACGCGCGCGCGCGAGGCGTTCGCGCTCGAGCGCGCCTACCCGCACGTCGCGTTCCACGAGGACGACCTGCCGGAGGCGCACAAGCGCCACATGCGGGCGCGGGTGCCGTCGCTGCGGTTCGAGGACGTGACGCCCCACTTCGGCGCACCGGACTGGCTGCCGGATCGCAACGCGTGGCGCGGCAACGACCGGTCCGTGGGCTACAAGAACATGTGCCGCTTCTACGGGCTGCGCGTCTTCGGCGTCATGCGCGACCTGGGCATCGACGCCTTCCTCCGGGTCGACGACGACGTGTTTTTTCTGGACCGCGTCGACTACGACCCGTTCCGCTACCTCTACGAGTCGGGCGCGGTCTACGTCTACGGCGTCGCGCACCCGGAGCAGCACGAGATGACGGCCGTGACGCTCCAGGGCTGGGGCCACGCCTACTGCGAGACCCTCGACCGGCGCGGCGACGAGGACTGCTGGGACGTGACGGCGCGGTCCTTCACGGAGATGTACTTCAACAACTTCTTCGGGACGCGGACGGACTTCTGGGCGACGGACGACGTGCTGCGGTTCCAGGCCGAGGTCGACGCGTCGTCGAACATCTACGTCTTCCGCTGGGGCGACGCGCCGATCCAGAGTTTGGCGGTGAACCTGTTCGCCGACCCCGGCTCCGTATCGCGGCTCCCGCGGCTCGCGTACGCGCACTACTCGGGGAAGCAGGTCGTCCGCCACGACAACGCCGTGACGGACTACCACGACCGGGCGACGGCGGACTTCATCAAGGGCCTGCCCTACCTCGGCGCCGACAACTCGACGGACGGCCCCGGCGATCTGGCGACCGCGGCGGCCGCCGCGCACGGGGCGACGTGGCTCGGCGACCTCGCCGCGCTGGGCTTCGACTTCGAATCGTACGTGGCCAGGCTCCGCGGCGAGGTCGACCGCGCGGACGCGCTGCTCTACGTCGCGCAGCTCCTCGGCGTCCACTGCGTCGGGAGCAAGGGCGCGGACCTGCTCGTGCCGCGGTACTGCTGCTGCCACCTCGCGTCGGCGACCTTCCGCGATCCGGACCTGCTGCGGCGCGCCTTCGACCTCGGCGCGTCGAAGGCGCTCGAACGCCTCGACCTCGGGGCCGCCTTCGCGCGGACGGCGCCGCTGCCGCGCGTCGGCGGCTGGGCCGACTTCTACGCGGCGCCCGCGGCCTGGGTCGCCCGCCTCTTCGCCTCCGACGACCGCCGCCGCACGCTCGCGGCGCGGCGCCGCAAGGCCGCGCGGCGCGCCGCGAGGCGCGCGGCCGCGCCGCCGCGGCGACCGCGGCGCCGCCGGGGCTTCTTCGACGCGCTCTTCGCACCCAAGGAGCCGCCGCCGCCGCCGCCGACGCCGCGGCCCACGCCGCGGCCGCGCGCCGAAACCCGGCGCTCCGACGCGGAGACGCGAGAGCGGCGCGCGGCGCTCGCGGAGCGGACGCGGACCGCGCTCGCGGAGCACAACATCCGGGGCGCGCGGCCGCGGAGGCCCCGCGACACGGACGGGACGCCCTAGGGCTTTTGGGGGTGTCTCGCGTGGCCGTGGCATCGGTGGGCCCCGGGGCGGACGGCTCGATTTACGCCTCGGCCTCGATTTGCCGCCGGGGAGGTCGCTGAACGCAGGCTGAGACAGCGGCTCGAGTTCGGTCGATATCCATTTGTACGTCGAGACCGTCGGCCGGTCACGCGTTCATCAAGCTCGACGCTCCAGCGCAAGCGCAAGGCCTACGCGAACCCGGGCGACCCGAAGTCGATGGTCGTAAATCGCGCCATGCGGCGCCGTTCGGCGTGGGTCGTCGTCGCCGCCGCGATGGTCTCGATCTGTCGCGCCTCGATGAGTGGCGTCGAGGAGTACGAGCGCGGCGTGAGCCTGCGCAAGAGGAAGCGCCCGAAGGAAGCGCGCGAGGCCTTCTTCCGCGCGTCGCAGCTCGAGTACCCCGGCGCCCTCGCCCAGTGCCTCGAGGCCTTCAAGGACACGGACGACCTCTACCTGTTCCACGCGCAGATCGGCCAGGTGTACCTCGACCACGACCTGAAGAGCGAGTCGTGCACGCACGTGCTCCGTTCGCTCGAGCTCGCGCGGTTCAAGCAGGCCACGGACGAGTACAAACGGACCATGCAGGCGACCCTGGACATGGCCGAGCGGGTCTGCCCCCAGCACCTGGGCACGAAGACGGCCGCGCGCGTCGCGCGGAAGGCGGGCTACGAATTCCGCTCTTCGCAAACGCCGCAGTACCGGACGTGGTCCGCGGTCTGGCGCGGCGTCCTGTGGCCGTGACGATTTTCGAGAGATGTCGGCTGGGAAAACGATGAAACATCGTTACCGTCACGCTTGGTAGGTCTGGCGCGACGCCTACGACGCCGCGGTCTCGACGTTGTCGCCGGCGAGAATCCTCTACTACTTCTTCGCCGACCATCGCGTGGAGTTTCCGACGGCGGTCGCGCCGGTCGCGCCGCGGCAGGCCGTCCCGGACCTGCCGTCGCTCGGCGGCCGGGGGCCCAAGCGCTGGTCGCCCGGGGAGCTCGCGAAGGCGCGGGCCGTCCACGAGGACCGCATCGCGGACCCGGCCTTCGCCAAGGCCATGGAGAAGCGGCGCGAGCTCGACTACTGGGGCCGCGACGACCCGCCCCTCGCGAGCAGCCCGAGGCACCCCGAGAACGCGGACATCGTCGGCCGGGCCGAGGCCGCGTGCGCCGCGTCGAAGGGAGGGTGCGACCGGCGCACGGCGGCGGAGGTCGGCATCATCGTCTGCGGCGGCGACCCCTGGGGGGCGGTGAGCTGCGCCTGCACCGTCGACGAGTTCAACGCCGTCGTCCTCTGGGCGTTGGAGCACCACGGCGACCCCCGCGCCGCGCTCGACGTGGAAGACGTGAAGCGCGCGACCTACCGCCTCTACGCGCACCGGCCGCCGCCGGGCGGCTGCGAGCGGATCGACGTGTCGGACCTGTCCCTGGACGAGTTCCTGGCGCGCTACGCGTTCCCGAGCCGGCCCGTGGTCATCTCGGGCGCCGCCGAGGGCTGGCGGGCGCTCGACACGTGGCACGATCTCGACTACCTCACGGACGCCGCGGGCAACGAGCTGCACCGCGTCTACGCCGTGCCCCTCGCGAAGGGCGACGACACGGGCGCCTTCGAGGCCATCCGGCGCCTGAGCGAGCGGGAGCTCCTCTACGGCATGAACGTGTCCGCGGACCGGCCCGGCGCGTCCGAGCCCGGGTCCGAGGACGTCATGGTGCGCCCCGCGGAGAATTTGATCACGCTCGACGCCTACGTGGCCCTCGCGGAGAAGCTGCGCGCGTCGAAAAAGAAGAAGATGTCGCTCTACTTCCAGAAGCACGCGATCCCCCGCTGGCGCGCCGCGCGGTCGCCGGACACGGGCGCGCCGCTCGTGCCCGGCGACGTGACGCCCTCCCTGCGGGACCGGGGCTTCGCCGACTTCCTCCTGCCCTTCAAGGAGCTGCTCTGGTTCGCCATGGAGCCGGCGAGGGCGGACCTCCACTTCGACCCCTACGAGAACCTGCACGTCGTCGTCGAGGGCGCCAAGACCTTCACCATGTTCCCGCCGTCGAACAACGACGAGCTATACTTCGCGAGCGCGGGGAACCAGCGGACCATGAACTGGCTCTACGACTACGAGTCGGGCAAGTTCTACCAGCTGCCCGCGTTTTTGAACGAGCCCGCGCCCCAGGGCTACGTGCCCGTGGACCCGGAGCGCCCCGACTACGACAAGTTCCCCAAGTTCCGCAACGCGACGCGCCTCGTCTGCGAGGTCCGCAAGGGCGAGACCATCTACGTGCCGTCGAACTGGTGGCACGCGGTGGCGTCGGAGCCCGACGGCGACTCGGGCGTCGTCGCGGGCGTCACCCACTTCTACGAGCCCCTCTACAAGGCCCTCTCCGACTACGTCCACTTCTCCTCGAACCTCGCGGCCTACGGCCACATCCTCAACCGCACGCAGGCCGCGCTCGAGGGCGCGGCGCGCGCCGAACTCTAGTGATGTGCGACACGGTGCTGCGACTCAGTGACTATGCGAATCGGGTTACGGTCGTGCGGGGCGCGGGCGCCCATAAAGCACGCGCGCGGGCGGCGAGGCCCCTTCCCGGAGCGGCCGGAGCGCGTCGAACGGGCGGGGGTTCCTATCATTCCGTGAGCGGGACGCCGTCGTCGCTCTCGTCTTCGTCCCAGGGCAGCTCGTTGCCGCAGGGGTCGCGCGCGACGCTGTCCGCGTCCTCGGCGCACATGTACTTGCGCACGGAGTCGGACGACCGGCGCGCGAGCGCGAAGGCGCTCTCCGGCTCCTCGAGGTCGTCGGGCGCGCCCGCGGCGGCGTCGTCGCCGTCGGCGCAGACGAGCGACGGGCAGCCCCGGAAGTCCTCGGGCGTGTCGGCGTCGATCGCCGCCTCGTCCAGAGCCGCGTCGTCCGACGAGCAGACGAGCGCCGCGCCGCCGGCGGACCGCGGCGTCGCTCCGAAGAGCAAAACGAAGCAGCTCTTCTGGAGCTCCTCGTCGTCGTCGTTCGCGTCGGTCCAGAGGTGCTTTTCCGGCGGGACGTCGCGGCCCGGGGTCACGAGCTTGACGCGCAACGTCGGCTCCGCGCGCGGGTCGTCCTTCTTCTTCTCCTCCGCTTCGCGCGACGCGTCGAGGCGCCGCGGCGCGGCGACGGGCGCCACGTCCGGCGTGGGCTGCGCGAGGGCGTCGAGGCTCCGACTGCCGTTGACGGGGCTGAACTGGAACTTGAGCTTGCCGCCCTCCCGGGGCGGCCGGTCCGTCTCGGGCGGCGACACGCGCCCCGGGCGGTCGAACCCATTGTCGCTGGCCATGTAGGCGCTCATCATCGACGCCATGGCGGGCGGCGCCCCGGCGCTGGGCGCGACGACGCGCCGGCGCCGGGCGGGCGTGCGCGGCCCTGCCGGCACTGGGCGGGCGTGCGCGCGGCCCTGCAGCCCCGCTCCCGACGCCGCGAAGTCGGGGCAGCCTGCGCTCGTGCTGTGCGGGATCCAGCTTCTGGAGCGGCACCTTGTGTAGTAACCTTGAGAGTGCATCTTGAAGACATGTAGCCGTTCGGCGATTGCTCGGCAGCGTCCGCAGTAAATATTCCCGACGACGACGTCGCCACATGTGCGGACCATCGAGGCGCACCGCCTCATGTGCGCGCTCGACGACTACCGCCGTCGAGACACATCTTGGTGGGCCGCGAACTTCGCGCAAGAGGCGCTCCGTCTTCGCGCAATGATTCTCCTTATGTGATTTTCTGCATGGGGTCCCCCTAGGCGCCCTCCGCGGCCGCGGGCGCGCCCGCGACGCGGATCTCGGCGAGGACGTCCTCCTCGGACTCGTCGAAGAGGCCGAGCCAGACGAGCGTGTCCTTGACGACGACGGACGGCGTGCGCCGGTGCGACGAGCCTGCGGCGGGAACCGAGTCGCGCGGCGCGGCGGCCTCGGCGCGCGCTCGGGGGGATGCGAAACTTCTCGGAAGTCGGAACCAGGTTTCAACTCAGCCGGCCGGAGCCGTCGTCGTGTGTAACAAATTGGATATGTCTCGTCATCGAACGGATCGGCGAGAAAACGCGCGTCGGACGCCGACGTCGCGCCGCCCCAGGTCCGCGGCGGCGACTCGGCGGCCGTCTCCTCGACGGCGGGCTCCGGCGTCGGGGGCTCCGCGGTGTCGACGACGGCGTCCGTCGACGGCGGGCAGAGCCACGGGTTGCCTGCGTGTCGGCGCCGGTAAAAAGGGCCCGGGGAACGGTCCGGGGGCCCAGAGTGTGGGCGGCGGTCGCTCTCGCTCCTGGTACAGACCCGCCGAGCCGACGGAGGCGGGAGGCGACGGGTAAAAAGCTCTCGGGAGCTCGAAAACACAGCGCGAGGACGCGGGGGGCACGCGCCGAGCTTCGGGAGGAAGGACCGCTTGTCGGCCTCGGCCTCGAGGTTGCTCGACGAGCGGCGCGTCGGGAGGCTCGGGAGGGAGAGGCTCGGGAGCGAGAGGCTCGGGAGGTAGGACCGCGGCGGCGGCGCGTCGCCGTCGCCGTCGCCGTCGAGGGTCGCGGACGACCCGCGGCGGTAGGGGAGGAGCGGGAGGCTCGGGAAGGAGAGCCGCGCCGGGAAGAAGGAGCGCGGCGCCGCGGACGCCTCCGGGCCCGGCGCCCGGCGGAAGGGGAAGTAGGACGCGCGGGGCGGCGACGGCGGTGGCGGCGGCGCGCCCGGCGGCGGCGGCGCGCGCGCGCCGCGGCGGCCCGAGCGGCGCGCGGGGAAGGCGGGGAAGGCGGGGAGGTAGGACAGGCGGCCGGCGGGCGCCGGCGCGAGGGGGATGGGCGCCGGGGCCGGCGCGAGGGGCGCGGGCGCCGGCGCGCGGCCGCGGCGGCCCGGGAACGCCGGGAGCGTCGGAAGGTACGCGGCGACGCCGAGCCTCTGGGGCGAGGGCACGGGCTGGAGCACGGGCGGCGGCAGGCTCAGGGCCGGCGGCGGCGGCGACCGCTTCGGCGGGCGCCCCCCGCGGCGGTGGCCGCCGCGCGCGACGCCGCCGGGCGAGTTCTTCTCCGGCGTCGCGGCCGCCGCGACGCGCTTCTCCGCGCGCGTGCGGCCGCCGCGCCGCGACGACGACGTCCTCCGCTCGCCCGTCGACGGCGTCACGACGGCGGGCGGGCAACAGCCGAGGCGCTCGTTCTTCTCGGGGGACGCGAACTCGGAAGGTTTCGTCGCCTCGTGGGGATGGACGGCGCCGGGGTCCGTCGGGCAAAGCCACGTGGGGGACGTGGGCTCGTCGTCGTCCTTCTTCTTCGGGGGTCGCGTGTAGATGCCCTTGAGGACGACGGCCATCGCTTGAAACCGGCAATGCTCGTCGAATCTCGACGAGCGTGACCGCAAGGTCTCTTTCAGTCGTCCACGGCAAGGCTGCTCGACGCTCGGGACGATCACAAAAGCGACTTGCGCCGGAGGAGTCCTCCCCACCCCCAAAAGCTACGACACGTCCCCGCTCCGCGACCAAATACGCAGATCCCCCCGGGCTCCCGAGCACCGGCGGACGGACGTCTCCGCGCGTGCGCGCCCCCCGGGAAAAAACATCACGCATCTTTCGTCCGTCCGGTTGGTTTCACGATGTCGATGTGCATGTGAGGGGCAGCCCCCAGCGTCAACCATGCCGAAGCCGACGGAGTCGATGGACGTGAACCAGTACACGCGGCACAAGTCCTACGCGTACCACAACAATCTGCACCACGACGCGCACCGGAGCACGGGCCCCGTGCTGAGCGTCTTCGGCGCCGAGCCGCGGTCGGCGTCGGCGCCGGCGCAGCACGAGGGCGAGGGCATCCTGGCGCTGCTGGACCCGCGGGAGCCGCCGTGCCACTACTTCGCCGTCGTCACGCAGGAGTTCCTGACGCTGTCGCCGCTCATGATGAAGGGCGCGGTCGTGAGCAAAAAGGCGTACGGGAGCCGCAAGTACAGCGGCGTCGAGGGCAGCACGAAGCTCGACATGAAGCTCGTCAACTCGGCCAAGGACGAGGTCGCGCGCGCGCTGGAGACGACGGCGAACATCTGCCTCGAGGAGATGAAGACCGCGGAGGAGCAGGGCGTCAAGGCCGCGCGGCGGTCGAGCCGCGCGGTGGCCCGGAAAGTGAAAGAGAAGGCGCTCGCCGCGTCCGACTCCGCGGAGCGCCTCCACCAGGCGATGTTGGACAAAAAGGCGGGCCGGCGCGCGTCGAGCACCGTGGCGACGCCGAAGACGGCGGCCGTCGTCGACACGCGCCTGCGCCACGCTCTGAATCCCGCGGCCGTCGCGCCCGACGCGCCGTCGGACGCGCCCTTCGACTACTTCCCGTCGGCCGAGGTCGTGCGCATCCCGCTGGCCCAGGTGCGCCAGGTGCGGACCTGCCCGACGATCCTGCGGCGGCGCGCGCTCGAGGAGCAGGAGGCGGACTTCGGGCGCGAGATCGACTTCGAGCACAAGTACTCGCTCGACAACTTCGAGTTCGAGGACCCCACGCTGGAGACGCACAGCATCCGCGTGACCGTCACCGTGGAGCGGCGCCAGCCCTTCGACTTCATCACCTACAAGGAGGGGTCCGTGCTGCCCGACGAGTTGCTGAGCGCGCACCGCGTCGCGCTCGCGCGGCTGGTCCTGCGCCTCCCCCCGTCGAACGTCATCGAGACCGAGGTCGCGGCGCTGCGCATGACCCACGGCTTCGACGTGGCCCCGGGCGAGGCCGACGCCAACGACGCGCGGTTGCTCGTCGCGGACCTCGAGAGGTCGCTCTGCGGAGGCCACGACGCGGAGCCCGAGTCCGACAGCGACGACGACGACGCGGTGCGGACGCTGCGGCAGCGCGAGCGCGACGCGAAGCGGGAGCAACTGCTCCAACGGCGCGGCGCGGAGCTCATGCGGCCGGACCTGCCCCAGCGCCACCGGCCCGAGGACCTGCCGCGGCGCCGGAGCGCGCGGCGGCCGCGGTCGCGCGTCCAGGTCGAGATGCTCCGGCGCCAGGCGGGCTACGCGCCCGTCGACGACGCGGACCTCCTGTTCGAACTCGAGGGGGACATGCAGGTCGACGTCGCGCTGAAGCGCGCGTTCTTCAAGGCGCCGAAACTGATCCGGAAGCTCGTCTCGTGGATCGAGCACATCGGCGCGGACGTCGACGCCGTCGCGACGGTGTCGCTGGGCGAGCGCGACGACGGCGACGACCACGACTCGCTGAGCGCCGGGTCCCTGGACCACTCGAACCGCGTCCGCGACGCGCAGCTCGCCGTCGCGACGCGCGGCTTGGCGGCCGTGCGCTTCCTGCGGGCCGCGCTCCACGACTCGCGCGGCGTCTCGGAGCGGTTCCGCCTGCTGCGCACGCACAAACTGACGCCGGAGCGCATCGTCGACGCCTGCAGCGCCGACCACTTCAACCACACGGACCACCGCGACGACGCGGCGGACGCGCGGCTCCGCCACGACGCGCGCGTCGCGCGGCACCAGGCCCAGCACTGGACGCCCCACGCCTTCCACCTGCCGTCGGAGCGGAAGCGGCGCGACGCGAACCGCGAACTGCTCGCCAAGTCGCGGGAGAACTTTTTGCGGAACCACCTCACGCCGTTCTTCCAAAATCCCGTCGACGCGCCGACGGGCGAGACGCCCGACTCGAGGCTCGAGACGCCCAAGGCGCGGCTCGCCTTCCACCCGTCGACGAAGGGCCTCGAGCGACGCGACGACGCGTCGCCCGCGGACCTCGCCGAGGCCGTCCGGCGCCTCGCGACGCCGTCGTCGAAGCGCGAGACCGTGTCGTACCGGCAGCTCCAGGAGGCGAAGGAGCACGGCGAGGCCCTGGCGGACGTCGCCCTGCGCCTCGCGACGCCCGCCGCCGCGCGGCGCAAGACGGCGCTCCTCCAGAGCGCGTCGCGGAGCCTCGCGAGCCCCGGCGACGGGCTGCGATCCGCGGCGAAGAACCTCGCGGGCCCCGCGGCGAAGCTCCGGCAGGCCGCGCGCCTCGTCGTCGACGACGACGACGACGCGAGCGTGGCGTCGTCCGCGTCCCGGGCGCCGTCGTCCGTGTCCCAGGCGTCGTCCGGGTCGTCCGCGCTCTTCCTCGCGGCGCAGCGGATGCAGCGCGACGAGGAGGCCAAGGCCGCGGACAAGTCCGACCGGCTCCGCAGGACGCTCAAGGAGGCGGCGGACCTCGAGGCCGCCGAGGACGCGAAGACGTCCGACGCCGCCGCGCGGCTCGTCGCGTCCCTCGGCCGCGCCGACAGCGTCAAGACGCTCGAGAGCGGCTCGAGCTCGCTCGGCTCCGAGGACCTCGGCGCGGCCGTCAACGACGCGCCGCCGCCGCCGTCGTCGAGCAGCAGCGGGCCCTACGCGGAGGAGACGGCCTTCTTCGTCAAGGACCGCGACGCGGCCATCGCCTACAGCGACATCCCGCCGCGGCCGGGCGCGCGGCCGAAGCCGCCGCCGGCCGTCGCGCTCTTCGCGCGGCTCCTGGACGCGCAGGCGGACCTGCTCGTCGAGATCGACGAGCTGACGAGCGCGCGCTTCCGCGAGGACGACCCGCCCATCTGGGTCGACATGGGCCAGCGGCAGATGGGGCCGCACTGGGTCCTCTCGTCCGTCGCGGCCGACGACGCCCGCGCGAGCCCGCTGCTCTGCGCGCTCGTGGAGCGCTGCATCTCCCTCGGCCTGTCCATCTCGCGCACGGGGCCGTCGCTGCCGTCGCCGTCGAAGCGCGCGCGCGCGCGGCAGGTGACGGCCGTCGGCGACCTCCGGAGCCCGCGCGCGGGCGACCGGTCGTCGCGCGGCGCGACGGAGCCCGCGCTGGCGCTGCTGGCGTGCTCGCACCTGCTCCTGGGGCTGCTCCAGGCGTCCTACGTCATGCGCGAGATCGCCGCGTCCGAGTGCGCCGACGAGGTCGACGACTTCCTGCTCCGGGACGAGTTCTACGACGCGCTCGAGGCGAACCGCGTCACGCGCCTCGCGGCGTCGAACCTCCGCGAGGCGACGCGCGTCATCCGCCAGGGCGAGGAGACGGCCAAGGCCGCGCACCGCAAGCAGCGCGGGGGGGACATCACCCACACGTAACGGGGGCGCGGGGACGGTGTACGAGATTCAACGTGGGTGCACCATTAGAGTCACCATTACTGCTCCACTGGGCAGATTTGGCTCGAGGTGCTCTCCCAGTGTACGCGTCGCGGCCTCGCTCGCGGCAGTGCTAGCACGCGTCTCGCGTCCGCGGCGGTCCCCTCGTTGCGAGGAGCGCTGTCCGCTGCGCCGCGCGCGTCGCGGCGAGCGACGGGCGCGTCCGCGGCGGTCCCGCGCTGCGCCGGAGCCGTCCCTCGCCAAATTTTGGCGTGAGGCGGCGCCCGCTTCGTCCGGCGGCATGGAGCTGGGCCCCATGGTCTGGGCGATGCTCGGCGTCGTCGTCGCGACGCTGATCTTCACGTCCTACTACTCCGGCGGCGGGGAGCCGCCCAAGGCCTCGGGCAAGAAGGCGAAGGCGTCGAAGCCGCACAAGGAGAAGAAGCCCGCGAAGGAGAAGAAGGCCCCGAAGAAGGAGGCGCCGCCGTCGCCGAAGAAGAAGGCGAAGGCGCCCGTCGCGCCCGTCGCCGTCGCGCCCGCGCCCGCGCCGGAGCCCACGCCCGCGCGCGACGAGGTGAAGCTGCCCAAGGCCGAGTCGCCCAAGAAGAAGAAGGAGAAGAAGAAGGCGGCCAAGGCCGCCAAGGCCGGAGCACCCGCGCCCGAGGCCGCGTCGACGCCCGCGCCGGCGCCCGAGACGCGCGCGGCCACGGCCGCGGCGCCGCCGGCCGACGACGGGTGGACCGTCGTCGACAAGAAGGCCGACCCCGCGAAGAAGAAGAAGGCGCCGAAGCACGGGGCGCCCGCCGCCGACGGCTCCGTCACCTTGGACTGCGGCCGCTTCGCCGCGGCCATCATCGGCAAGGGCGGCGAGACCATCAAGAAGCTCGCCGCGGACCACCCCGGGGCGACCTTGAACGTCGAGAAGAGCAACAACGGCGGCTCGACGTGCAAGATCGGCGGCGACGACCCCAAGGTCGTCGCGAAGGCCAAGACCGCCGTCGAGGCGCTCCTCGCCGCCGCGGGCCACGTGCCCGGCGCCGAGCTCGCGACGGCGACCGTCGACGCGGCGGACAAGCTGCCCGCGGTCATCGGTTCCGGCGGCGCGACGATCAAGTTCATCACGGCGTCCTCCGGCGCCCACGTCGAGGCCGGCCGCGGCGGCAAGTCGGCCGTCGTGCTCAGCGGCACGCGGGACCAGGTCGCCAAGGCCAAGGCGCTCGTGCTCGCGGCCATGAATGGTGTGGATATCGCCGCGGAGTCCACCGAAACGATCGAGCTCGGCGCGCGCGGCGTGCCCTTGCTCATCGGCAAGGGCGGCGCGACGATCAAGGAGCTCCAGGCCAAGTGCGGCGCGCGCATCGACGTGCCCCGCGGCGGCACCGCGTGCACCGTGTCCGGGTCCGCGGACGACGTCGCGCGCGCCGTCGCGACGGTCAAGGCCCTCCTCGAGGACAACGGCCACGGCGAGACCCTCGACCTCGACTGCCACGTGGGCGTCCTCCTGGGCAAGGCCGGCGCGACGATCCGCAAGATCCAGGAGGCCTCGGGCTGCCGCGTCGACGTCCGGTCGACCGGCGACGCCGCGTGCGCGGCGACGCTCAGCGGCTCGTTGGAGCAGATCGCGGCGGCGAAGCGCGAGATCCAGGGCGCCGTCGACGCGGCCAACGCCGGCCCCGCGCTCGGGCCCGGCGAGGTCGCGGAGCGCGTCGCCGTGCCCGACGCGTACGTCGGCGCCGTCATCGGCAAGGCCGGCGCGAACGTGAAGAAGATCCAGGACGAGTCCAAGGCGAAGATCGACGTCAAGGACGGCTGCTGCGTCGTCTACGGGCCCCCGGACGCCGTCGCGGCCGGCGCGGCGGCGATCCGCGCCATCGTCGGAAAGCAGGCGGACTTCGACGCGCAGCGCGCCGCGCGCGCGGCGCCGCCGCCGTCCTGGGACGAGGCCCAGGCCGCGGACCCCGTCTGGGGCGGCGCCGGCGCCGACGGCGACGCCTGGGGCGTCCCCGACGACGCCGACGCCTGGGGCGCGTGAGCGGGCCCCCGCCCCCTCCGCGAACCCCCGAACAAACGCCGCCGCGCCCCGACCGCGCCGCTGGATGACCGCCCCGCCCGGCGCCGCCTCGCTCTCCGCCCCCCCTACGCCCCTCCCCCCTCGGCCCCTCCTAACACGACCACCGATCACCGGCGGCCCGGAAACGCGCGGCCCCGAACTCCGTCGAAGGCGGCTTAGAAAGTGGGCGGGGCCGCCGCCCCAGCGGCTCCCGTCTACATGTCGTTCTTCTTCTGGATCCACGCCGCGACGTGGAGGCCCCAGGACACGGGCACGCAGAGGCTGCCGGCGATGTACGCCGGGTTCGCAGTCGACGCGCTCAGCGGCGCGCCGAGCTGCGACGCGGAGACGCAGTAGAGGCCGACGATGAGGAAGATGCCCGACATGGGGCCGAGGAGCGCCGACGGCGCCGACGCGAGGTTCCCGAGCACGTAGGACGGCGGCGCCTCGCCCTCCCAGTACGTGTCCTCCATGGACAGTTGGGCCTTCGGGGCCGTCTGGGCCACGCGGCGCACGCTCGGGAGGGTCGCGCGCGACGTGCTGAACGCCGAGGCGGTCGCGGTGAGGAGGGCGAGGAGGGCGAAGCGGGCCATTTCGTCAAGCTGCGGATGAACAGAGCCGCGGATCGGGCCAAGTCCCGACGCTAACCCTCGCCGCACAGCGTGCTTGCAGTGGAGCTGCAAACTTACGAAATTACGATGAAAATCGATGGGATGAGTCCGGGAAACGAGATGGTGATCCGCTGGAGTGAGAGCATGGGCCCGTGAGATGCTGCGCCGCCTCGTCGCGGCTGCTTCACTCGCAGCCGCCAGCGCGCAGTCGTCCTGCGCGCGCCGGCGCCTCGCCGTTGACGACTACGACTACTACGTCGACTCCTACGACGAATTCCAGGAGGCCGTCGAAGACTCCATCGACTGCAGCGCGGGCACGATCCTCCTCGAGGAAGACGTCACCGTGGCGGCCCAGGTCGAGATCTACGACGGCGCGGCCGTCACGATCGCCGGCCGCGAGTGCGCGTGGGACCAGAAGTTCGGGGACGGGACGTGCGACGCCGAGAACAACGTCGCCGACTGCCTCTACGACGGCGGCGACTGCTGCGTCGCGACCTGCGCGGGCGACGGCTGCCCGACGACGGACGCCGACTGCGACGATCACGCGCCGGGCGACGGCGACTTTCTGATCCCGGGCTCGTGGAGCCGCGCGCTCGACGGCGGCGGCCACGGCGACAAGTTCGACGGCGGCACGCAGATCCTCTGGGTCTCCGACGCCGGCACGACGCTCACGCTCCGGCACCTCGTGCTCTACGGCGGCACGTGCATCCGGGGCGCCTGCGCGACCTACAGCGAGGACGACGACGACGTCGGCGGCGGCGCCGCGCTCTACGTGCACCTCGGGTCCGCGATCCTCGACGACGTGCTCATGAGCCACCACTTCGCGACCATCGTCGCCGCCGTCGCCGTCGTCGACGGGTCCCTGGACTGGGTCGGCGGCGGCGTCACGACGACGCACGCGAAGAAGGGCGGCACCGTGAGCGTCTCCGGGAGCTCCGCCACCGCGCGCTTGCGCGACGTCGCGATCACGTACAACGAAGGCTGCGGCGTCGTCGCCCGCGACGGCGCCTTTCTGAACCTCACGGCGAGCAACGTGACGCACAACGGCCTCGACAACGCCGCTATCACGCAGAACACAGACGACGATCTCGGCGGCGTGAGCAACCGCTGGGGTGGCGGCGTCGCGATCGTGTTAGGCGCGACGGCGACGATCGCCGGCTGCAACGTGTCATACAACGAGTTCCCCGGGGGGAAAGTGAACCAGGTCGAGTACTTTGGCGGCATCGCCGTCTACGACTCGAACGCCGTGACGATCTCGGACACGTTGGTCAGCCACAACGAGGCGAAGCACCACGCGGGCGTCGCCGTCGAGAGCTCGCAGGTCTCGCTCCACCGCGTCACGCTCCGCGGCAATGTGGGGAAGGAGGGCGGCGGCTTCTACGCGGGCGTCTCAGATTCCGAATATAGCGACGACCCCGCGGGGTCCGACGTCCACCTCTACGACTGCGTGTTCGAAGGGAACACCGCGACGGGAGGCGGCTCGAACAAGGGCGGGGGAGGCATGAAAGTGTCAGAGTCCAACGTCTGGGTCTACGGCGGGACCTTTTTCGGCAACGTGGCCAGCAACGACCGGGGCCACAACGCCTGGATCGAGGACAGCACGGACCTGTATCTCTACGGCGTCGCATCCGACTCCGGCACCTGGTACGTCGACGACGCGACCTCGGTCATCGAGACGTGCAACTCGGCCATCGCCGGCGACCCCGCGGGCGACACGGACAACATCTACCCCATCTGCGCCACGACGGACGCGCCCATGTCCGCGGCGCCCTCCTCAGCGCCCTCCTCGGCGCCGTCCCCGAGTCCGTCCTCGAGCCCCAGCGCGACCCCCAGCGCGACGCCCTCCTCGCCCCCGACGGCCTCCTTCCTGCGCATCACGAGCATCGGCGCCGGCGCGACCTGCGTCTCCGGCGTCGAGTGCGACGTCCTCTGGGTCTACCGCGGCGACCCCGGCGCCTGCGCGACCGTGGACGTCGAGGTCTCGGACCCGGACGGGACCGTCGTCCGCGCGGAGACCGCGACCAACGACGGCCAGCAGACGCAGACCGTCGCCGGCGACGCGGAGATCAGCACCTACACCCTGACGCTGGCGTGCTCGGACGACGCGACGCTCGCGGACTCGGCGGAGTTCGAGGTCTCGTTCACGCCCGCGCCGACGATCGAACCCGCGCCAAGACCCACGCAGCCGCCGACCCCAGCGCCGACGCCCGTCCCGACGCCCGCGCCGACACCCGCGCCGTCGCCGAGACCGACGTGGCCGCCGACCCCGCAAAAGGGAGATCCGACGGCGCAGCCGGTCCCCGCTCCTTCGCCCCGCCCGACGCCCGCCCCGACGCTCGCCCCGACGCTCGCCCCGACGGCCTCCTTCCTGCGCATCACGAGCATCGGCACCAGCTCGACCTGCGTCTCCGGCGTCGAGTGCGAGGTCCTCTGGGTCTACCGCGGCGACCCCGGCGCCTGCGCGACCGTGGACGTCGAGGTCTCGGACTCGGACGGGACCATCGTCCGCGCGGAGACCGCGACCAACGACGGCCAGCAGACGCAGACCGTCGCCGGCGACGCGGAGGTCAGCACCTACACCCTGACGCTGGCGTGCTCGGACGACGCGACGCTCGCGGACTCGGCGGAGCTCGAGGTCTCGTTCACGCCCGCGCCGACGATCGAACCCGCGCCAAGACCCACGCAACCGCCGACCCCAGCGCCGACGCCCGTCCCGACGCGCGCGCCGACGCGCGCGCCGTCGCCGAGACCGACGTGGCCGCCGACCCCACAAAAGGGCGACCCGACGGCGCAGCCGGTCTTCTTTTTCTCGCCGACGCCGAAGCCGACGCCAGAACCTACAGGACGGCCGTCGCTCGCGCCCGAAGCGGCGCCGTCGCTCGCGCCGACGGCCTCGTTCCTCGAGATCACGTCCGTCGGCGTCGGCGACGACTTCTCGTGCCCGGCGAACGCGCCCTGCGCCGTCGCCTGGGTTTCCCGCGGCGCCGGCTGCCCGGGAACCATGACGCTGACGATTTCGGATCCCGCGACGGGCGAAGATCTACTAGTAGAAACGTGGGAGGCGGCGAACGAAGGTGCGGCGACGATCGACGCGCCGGACGACGCCACGGTCTTCAAATACGGCAACCAATTCCACCTCGCCCTCACCTGCGCCGACCTCGCGGACGAAATCTTCTTCTCCGTGTCGACAACGCCGGCGCCGACGCGGGCGCCGACGACCGGGAGCCCGACGACGGCCGCGCCGATGACGCTCGCACCGACGCCCGCGCCATCGCCCGCGCCGACGCCCGCGCCGAGCGCGCCGCCGACGCTCGCGCCGACGGCGTCCTTCCTGCGGCTCCTCTCCGTCGGCGACGGCTTCACCTGCGTCTCCGACCTCGCCTGCACCATAGCCTGGGAGTACCGCGGCGCTCCGAGCGACTGCGCGGAGGTCCTGCTCGAGGTCTTGGGGGGGAACGGCGACGTGCTCAGCGCGGCGGTCGTGGACAACGTCGGCGAGGGCACGCGCGTCGTCTCCGGCAACGCCGAGGTCAACGTCTACACGCTCCGCGCGTCAACGTATCCCTGCGGGTCGCTGTCCGACGCCGTCGAGTTCCAGGTGTCCTTCACGCCCGCGCCGTCGCCCGCGCCGACGGTGTCGCCGTCGCCCGCGCCGTCGCCCGCGCCGACGCCCGCGCCGTCGGAGCCGCCCACGGCCGCGCCGACGCCCCGGCCCACGGCGGCGCCGACGCCCAGGCCGTCGGAGCCGCCGACGCCCGCGCCGACGCCCCGGCCCACGGCGCCACCGACGCCC